AGGTGAGAGAGGACAGGTGAGACACAGGTGAGAGAGGACAGGTGAGACAGATGAGAGAGGACAGGTGAGACACAGGTGAGAGAGGACAGGTGAGACACAGGTGAGAGGACAGGTGAGACAGGTGAGAGAGGACAGGTGATTGAGATGGGCAGTGCCGGCAGAGAAAGGACATGTTTGTCGGCTGCATCAGAAGAGTCTTGTGATTTGGACAGCCTAACGGAGCAGCTGGCTCTGATAAATGAGAAGGAGACTATTCATTTGTGTTAGCATTGAAGAGGCTAGTGACTAGCATGTTTAGGCTGGAGTTAGCATATGAGAGGCTAGCGACTAGCATGGATAGGCTGGCATTAGCATAAGAGGCTAGCAACTAGCATGGATAAGCTGGAGTTAGCATAGGCGTGGTTAGCAAATAGCATGGATAGGCTGGTATTGGCATAAGAGGCTAGCGACTAATATGGATAGGCTGGAGTTAGCATAGGAGAGGCTAGCATGGATAGCCTGGCTAACACAAATGAATAGTTTCCTCATTTGCCAGCACTGGCCCCTCAGTAAGTGGGGCCCTCATACCACATCATACAACAGCAGTAGAGTCAGGCACAGGTCCTGAGATGAGACAGGTGAGACAGGTGAATGAGTAACAGGACAGATGAGAGACAAAGACAGGAAGTAAAGACACACCTGTTGGCTAACAGGTAAAGTACAACTTACAATGAGGATGGCGACAAAGCAGGCGATGGTGGTGTTCCAGTCTCCGCCCGTGGCCGCAGCTTTTCCCACCAGAACGCTGTAGAAGATGAAATCCCCGAGCCCCAGCTTCACCCCACCTGTACACAGAACACACACCTGACGCACACCTGCTGACCTCTGACCTCTTGTCTGCAGGGACAAAACTCACGCTCCTCCTCCAGCTCTTCTTCTGAAATCCTGCTCTGCAGCTGACCCTGAGGCTCCGCCCTCCTGTCGTTCTGCTCCGCCTCCTCATCTGAAACAGGAAATGAGTGGTTAGTTGAAGGGAAGTCACAGGAAGTGGGCGGAGTCAGAGTGACACCAGACCTGTTTCAGAGCGCCGAGCGTCCGTAGAGCTGGCCATYGTCACCGTCCACACCATGGCTGCTGCTCGCACACAGGAAGAGAGGTGGGGTTAGTCGGAGGCTCCGCCCCCAACAGGTTGTTCTGATTCATAGATTTATAAAGGCTAGATAAGTCATATATATATATACAAA